GCTTGCCTGGTCTACAGCTTTCACAGTCTATCATCTGTGCTTCCCAGTAGTGCTTTCCACAGTCTTTGCTTCCTGATGGCATTTTTTTCATGTATGCCATCTCTGCTGTCAGGCCATTGAACAATGTTCCTCAAGAGTGAGACTTCGTTTGCATGTTGCGTTTTCAGCCAAGAGAGCAAGAAGCTGCTACAGAGCAAGAGCTGACTTGCAGGGCCTGTGGGCAGATTTAGCACCAGCCATTGTGTCCGGGCCCCTTGAAATGCAGACAAAACAACAAATGGGGGCTGTTATGGTGCTGCATACCCTCTCCATGTAGACAACGGAAGCATGATTACCCAGATTTGTCCTCCCAGGTCTTGCTTACATGCAGGTTTATGCAGAATTCACATGCTCTGTTTTCTTGAAAGTAAGATGATTTTAAATGGTGCAGCACTTTAAGAAATAGTTGTTAGTATGCTTTATTGCTACTGGACTTTTTAAAAAAAAAATTGCATTGAATCTGCATTTCATTTTTAGGAAGGCTAAATTAGAAAGCTGCCCTGTACTCAGGCTGACATTGGTAACGATGTAACATTCAACATCCTGTCAGGATAATTGTCTAGCATGACAAACACGGTAAATGAGATACCAGACACAACCAGATTTCTGTGAAATCAGGGTGGATAGATAGTTGAGAGACTATTTGTATCTGCTTTTGCTTTCATTCATTTTCTTTTTGTAAACACAAAGCGTATCTTGCTTATTCTAACATTTGTTCTTAGGAAAAGGAGAGACAAAAAAGCACATCATTTTGTTTTAACTTGAAAATCTAAAGGAAATATATTTCTCCTGAAAGCCAGCTGGCATTTGTGCCAGACCTCACTCAGCTAGCAGAGTCGGCTACTTAGAGAACAGAGGTTCCACATGCTAATGCACTGAGAACTGATCAGATGGCAGCAGACAAAATTGGTTTTCCATACAGATAAGTGGATGTGGCTTCAGCAGAGGGCAGATTTCCACACCAGGGAAACCCAGGGGTCTCTTCAGTGCTACTCAGGACTGAGTCCAACAGCACTGCCTTTCTGTTTCTGCTGGTGGTGCAGTAGCAGAGAGCGCCAAGCTGTGAGAAGCTTAGCTCTTTTCAGTATTCAACACCCTCACTATATACACTGAGGTATTGAGGTTCATGATCTTCCAGCAATTCAGGGAGCCAGCTCACAACTGGAACAGTTGCAAGGCAAAATTGGCTTCATCTTCTGTCTTTGTTTTGGGAGATTTCGAACTGCAGTGAGAACCTCCATAGGAGAACAAAGCAGACAAACTGCTCAGCAGAGACCAGTAGCGGTTTGCTTAGTTTTGAAATGTCGCACTTTATCAGTACTGGTGTCTGCTGGATGAGAAATCAAAGGTGTTACCCATGGGGTTAGCACTTGCAAAGTGAGTGCTGAGCAAGATTACTCTGCCATGACTCAGCCGCCTCATTTTAAGTATAAAAAGAAATCTCAAATAACAGATACTGGTTACACACCCTGTCTGTAGCTGAGTCTTCAGATTAATGGCTAATGGCTTCTGCCCCTCGTCTATAAGTAGTTTACTATAGCTTTTAGATTAATTTTTTCTTTCAGTAAGCTGTTGAATATTCACCACCAAAACTGCTTACCCATTTGGGCATCTTTCCTGCTTGTGGGTCATGATGGTGAAACTGCAGAACGAGCACTGTTACCACAACAGACAGACCAACGATGACCATGATGCTTGCGAAATACTGAGCTGCAAGTAAAAGGAGGACTTGGTTAGGAGGGGAAAAAACAAATAAAAGGCAAACAATACTCCTTGGCCATGCCCCAAGATCTACATTTGAGAAGCTCTGCATCACATCCAAACATCCTCTTCTCTAGTCTTCCACACTGCACCATTTGAGGCCTTTGAGGTTTCCAGTGTATCTGCTCAGGTCCTTCCTCTCCAGCGAAGCATAAACTGCTTGGTTTTTGTTCCCAGAGAGGAACATAGGGCCCCTTGCTAAGGACTTTCTGCTGTCTGCCAGGATAGTGAGGAGCTGAGCTTACCAGACCCACTGAACACCAGCATTACCATCCCTGAGCCACCCTCCAGTACTAGCAGAGGTGCTGGAGGGAAATGCTGTCCTCATGGAGTCACTGGACCACTTCAGGAACTGTCACCAGACTCCCTCCCTCACCCCACTGCTGCTCACAGGGGGTTAGGCATATTTGTCATCACCCTCCTGAGCCCTCAAGACCATTTATTTTGCTTCCTATGAAAGCGTGTTACACCCTTGCTGAGTGCTAAATTTAAGCCTCCCACATACGAAAGAAATAAAGAACCTGAACACCAGAGCAACACTTGAAACCGGTATCTCCTAAGCAGCAGTACAGCTTCCCCAAGCCAGGAGTGAGGCTGGTGCACTGGAGTGTAAAGAGGAAATGCCCACAAGGCTAACGACATTTGGAGGCTGCTGTGGCAAAATATCAGGGAGCATTACTGTTGGCTGATACGATGGGGCAATGTGGGAGAACATGTGACGCTGCCCCAGACTGTATCCTCCTCCTGCCTCCAGCCCTCCCTCCTGCCGTTTGCAAGAAAAGTCAAAAATTCAATACAGGCTCCAAGGTAAGTTTTGTTCTGGCTCCATTTCTTAATAGCACTTCCCAATGCTTCCACAGCAAAAAGCTTGCTCATAATAATAAGGTCTTCCTGAAACCAACGCTGCAAATTCTTCAAGAGGTAGGCATGGCTTTCCACAGCAAAATGAATTATGCAGCTGGATTAGAACAGTAAACCAAGTGTGAGGTGAATTGAAAGGTTTCTGTTGCACATACTCATGAGAGAACAGAGCCAACAGCCAGGCAAAAGCAGAGCAAACGACGAATTAAGGTTTTAGGGAAGGCCACTGATCTGACTCCAGTATGCCCTGCATAACAGAAACATGGCAGTGTTGATATTGCTGGTTTAATTACTTCTGTAAGTCACTAAGAAACTTTCATAAATTGTACACATTTTGATGTCACCCAACTTCAAAGGCCTGAAGTGGTCCATTTAAAATGGCTTTGGCTAGGATTTTTCACAGATCCTTGGAAAATTAGTCACAGGGTTGAACTTGGAAACAACTTGGTATTATCTGACTCAATATCACAGCCAATGATTAGCAGAGGAATTCACACTCTCATTTTTTTGTGCTGTAAACCCAGGAACAGAGGTCAGGAAACTGCTATGGAGACCTGCTAGTAAACAGGGAAAACAGTTCTCTCAGGAACAGACTGGGAACTGTAGGGCATCTGTGGACCCGTAAAGAAAGATATTTTATGTTTTTGCCTGGTGGTAGGCAAGGAAGATGGCTGGATGTGCATCACCTGCATTTGGGGTGAGAGGCCCTTCTGTTCAACATAGAAGTTTTCAGTTGGAAAGTAAGGATGGAAGACATAGGGCATGGTACTTCAGCCCTTAGTGTCAGGTAATCAAATGTCACAAGATATCTGGGAAATGAAAACTTGTGAGTAGACTTATGCAGCCCAGGTAGGTGCTGGTGCTATATTCATTTGAGGGGGAGAAAGCCCCAAAGCCCTGGAGCAGACCAGACCTACTCTAGGGTTGGATTTTGCCAGCCCTGAATAACCAGCAATGAAAGGAGAGGAAGGAAGTAGCTGTGGGTGGCACACCTGTCCCGTTAGCCTTTCACATCACTAGTTGGAGATATGAGGAAGGCGGTTGCTTCCTTTTCTGTGGCAAGACAAGGTAGACCTAATAGCCATTGTTCAGAAAGGAATTTCTAGATCTTCTGCCCATGAGTCTCTTTGAAAACATGACTCCATGCTTACAATTCAAACCCTGAATTGGGTCACAGACACAGGTAGGGATGGCCAAGACCTAGCTGGGCCTGGGTTCAGTGATAGTTCACCTGTAAGAGAAGGAAAGGAAAGGCCTCAGAACTGAGTGGATGCACTCACGAGGCAAAACAGTGCTGGATCTGAAATGGTATCCATACCCACTCAGCATTTCCTGATCTTTCCTTCCAGAGTTTAATCCTACATCCTCACTTTCCCAGCAGCAGAAAAACGTGATCCTCCTGCAGCAGTCAGGAGAACTGGTGGGGAAGAATCCTGCGCTGTCTCTCACGCATCTCCCTGGAAGCATTGCGCAACCCTCCTCCAGTCTGCTGGCACACCTCCAATCCGACCATGACTTGACCTTCTCCAGCAAGCCTGTGAGCAGAGGATCCTAGCTGCTGAAAGAATCAAGGTACAATGTGCACAGCTAACACTTTCCTTGGAGCCATGGGACTGCAGTCTTCACTCACCCTATCCTGGCCCCACAACGCCCCAAATTAGCGAACTCTATTCCTGGGCCTCCACTGATGTTGCTGAGCACAGAAATAGGATGCTGTCCTGCAAGGTGTGGCACAGGAGACATCAGTGGACTAAGAAGAGAGCTTTGGTCTTTTAAGCAGTAGCCACAGTCCAGCTACCAGACTTTTTTCACCAGTATTTTAGGGTCCATCCTAAAGCCTACAGCACATATGCAGTTAGGGTTTCAAGCTGCTGCTCCCACAAAGTCTTACCCCCACGTGTGTCTGTTGGCAGGGTAAATGCACATCTTTATTTTACAAAGAATCTCAACCCCTTTCATTTAAACTGCAGAAAGGAAACTCAGCAACTCTCATTAAGCATCTCTCTGTATCCTACTTAAGAGCTGCTGGTTACTAGATCATCCCTGGTATGAATGGGTCATCTTAGTGGCTTTAACAAATTCCTTCCCCACGGGCAGTGTCAGGAACAGCAATCCCAGGCCAGAGTGTGTTTGAAAGAGCAGGGGCCTGGCTGCTGTGTGTCAGCTGCTCTGCGGCACAGCTGTAAAGCGATGAGCCCTGTCTGGAGGGGAACTGACTTGTTTGCACTCTGCCCAGGGCAGCTGTCATAAGCCAGGGAAAGGGACCAGGGGATCTGTGTTTGGAGACCCTCAATATCCCTGACTTGCACAGCGATGTTCCCAGTGATAACCAAGGCCTGCACTGGTCACCACTGGATGGTCTTCATGTGTTTTAAAACCTGCATGCTGCCATCTTCAGCAGTCGTGTGCAAACAGAAAAGCTGTTTTGGATTCTCCGTTGATCTTTTTCAAGCAGTATGAAGTATTTGTGCTCCTACAATTGATTTTCTTCCCTTTCTTTGCCAAAGGAGGCATGATGTAATGCATTACCTGGACAGCTGTTTTAACATCTGGGAGTTGTCAGTCCCTGTCTCAGCACTGTCAGAAGATGATCAGGTGACGTTGTCGTAGCAAATATGGATCTAATCCAACTACAGATAGCCAGAAAGGCTTTCTAAAAAAACAGTGACAACAGCTATTTGTTCTTGCAGGCATCCTCTGACATCATCCGTAACAAAAGGATGGCAATGACTTGCAATTCATAACTTGAGGAGCTTCCAGTATCATTTTTTGACCTTTTAAGCCCTGATCTGATGTTAGAGAAGTACCTTAGGATTATTTTAGAGATGTTTTGGAAGATCTGCTGCTTGAGTTGAACTGGATTAACTTTAAGGACTGACTAGGAACAGGGTGAATAAAACAGAAACTCTAAGAGGAGTAAGATGTTTCCACATGGATGCTTTTGCCTCGTTGACTTTATCACTGAACACTGACTGAGAAAGCAGTGTATTATCCAAATTTGATAACATAGTTAATCATAGGATAGGCAGAGCTTCTCCAGTGTGACCAGTTACAGTCTTGCTGTTCCTATGAAATAGTAGGGGAAGGAGGAGAGTGTTGTGCTCAGGTATTCACAGTGATCAAGTTGGATACCTCCCACTGGTGTTCCTGCTTGCGTTCCTTCTTTGCAGGAAGCACCAGGTTTTGCATCTGAAATGATGCACTGGTTTAGGGCTGCTTTATTTAAGTCAGGTCATTTCAGTCATTCAGTGCTGAGTGCTTCTGGTGAACTTTCAGAAAACGGGAAAAATGTTCCAGAGCATGCACAGAATGAGATATTCACTGCTCCTTCTTCTGGAAATGGACCAGGTTAATGAAGCGAAACCTGTGGAGGATGCAAGAAACCTCAAACACCAGCAAAGGGGCTTCCAGGCACCCTTCTTCTTTTCTCCTATGGCAAGGACCAGGTCTGGTGCTGAGCAGATGCTGTTACAGTCTACAATGGGTGATGGCACAGTTTCTCAGAGACCACGGAAACTAAAACGTAGAGGAGAGGTTCCCTTGCTGGCTGATTTGCTGTTGTACTCAGTCAGCAAAGAAACACAGAAGAGGATGTAGGCAGGAAAACAATTTCCACTGTTGTTGAGATTTGCTGTAGCTGGGACACCTTGTGTCGTCCATTAGCTCACACTGACAGAAGAAAGCAAAGAGCATTACCTCATAAACATGAAATGTCTGAAAAGAGCGAGAGAGTTCAGGATTCGACCCTGTGTCTACCTTTTGATTATGGTACTTGCAGAGGGCACAGGGGCAGTGTTTTCACAGTGTTTTCAAACTCTTCTCCTCTCACAAGCTGTTGAATAATAGAACTGTGTGTTCAAAAAGTAAAACTGTTATCTTTTAATTTAAAAAAACAAAAGCATCCGAGACCTGTGGCTTTGGGAAAAGCACCTTTGATCATGAAACTGTAAGAGCTGCTGCAAATTAGAATTTCTGTTTCATGGAAGAGGCTGAGCGGGGTTCTGGCACCAACAAGGCACCAGGCAGGACTATGAAAGGAAAGGAGGAAAAGCACTCCATAAAATCAAAAAGAGATAGAGGAAAGTGAA